CACTAATTTGAGTCTTCTTTTATTGCCATCTGCTGTGGGTGTTGCATCCACAAACATGGGTTTTTTTTCTGAGTCTCTCTTCATGGTGATGGAGGATAAGCTGATGCATCTGGAAAGCATCTTTTCTTGGTCCTTTCACTGTATCAACCTGCAGTGTGTACTTTGATGCTCCTTTGCCTGAGTTGTTTTGATCAGTTGTGAGAAATCCACATTTTGCAATTCCACTGATATAGCACAGAGAGAACAGTGTGAGCACCTACAGCAATCTTCTGAAAGGCAGGTGGCCTGGTGGTTAAAAGCTTTGTTAAACATAAAATGTGCAATATCTGTTTGTCGTGGATCTGAGGGTAATTAAGAGTAATTCTTGAGGCAGTCATTGAAGCACGGCACTCTCCTTTTGCTCCTCTCTCAATAGCTCTGTGAAGTGGTCTAGCTTGGTGTCAAGCTGTATGCTGCAGTAATGGGCACTTGGGTTTTTTTTCCTCTCAGCCCTGTTTCATGGCTGGAGTGAGAGCACTGCAATGTGTAAAGGCCAGCTTAAGAACCATTCCCAGCTCTGTGCTGCTTGGAGCAGCTTCAAACGAGTTCAGTAGGAAGAARCAGAAGGTGACTGCTGGGGCTGGGGGTTTGCACCACCTCCCAGGTTCTAGCAGGGTTAGCAGCCGTGTGGATAGTTCATTAATTCATGAGTAGTATAATTTGAGCGACTGTCTTTACTCAGATATTGGCTGAATTGCTTAAAATACTGACATGTTTTGCCCTGTAAGCTACAGAATTCTTAAAATGGAAATCCCTTAACTATCAAGACACTTCACATGATGGTACAGGTTTAGATCTTGTGCAGGTTGACAGAGAAAATAGTGAGGGTGGGACAGAAGTCCACCATCCTTGTTTACCCTTGAACTACAACATCTACAAAAGGGTACAAAAACTAACTGGAGCTCTTAACTCTGTAGTACTTTTAAATACACCAGGAAAAATTCCTGAAACTGTACTTATGTAGTGACCCCACTGTTGCCCTCAGCTCACCATTAAATAAATAGCACTGAACATCCTTTGGCCTTCATATGTTATGCCAACAAATATATGATTGCAGTGGCAACTGTGAAATGGCACTTTTGTCAGCTATTTCCATGAAGGCAATTCTAGAAAAGGTGTGCTGTGTAATAAGGCTCACATAAAATGTACCAGACTTAGAACTAAATGCAAACACTTTACGTTTTTATCAAGACGGTCTCACTCAAGTACTTCCCTTTTTTTTCATTTTCACACATTTATGAGCCACCGATTACCTGCAAGATACCTCAAAACTTTGATTCATCATCAGTGGGGCTTATATAGRTGTGTGGGTAAGACAAGGGGAAATCTACCCAGAATTCACCATCTCCCAGTAGAGCCACATAGCGGATCTTTTTTGCTTCTGGTTTTGTGCAGGTCACCCAGGAGTATGGCTGTCCAAGTACTCATTTTGYAAGGAATTACTACCTCAAAGAACTGAAATTATCATTAAGTACTATTCCAGTTACTGGAAGGATGGCTTAGTCATGTGAAAATAAAGTACCTACTAAACCATGTTTTCCAGAAAGTATTCTCCAACACAAGATTTTTTTTTTTTAAAGTTGATGCTGATAAATTTTCCCTTTTGGTTTATTAGCAAATTGAAATAGCTTGAGAAATATAATGCAAGTCTGCCTTTTGTCAGGCTACTTCCACTCCAGCTGTTTAAACCCAGGGAATTATGCATTGTACTTACTAAGGTAGRACATAAAACACCCCTTTTGGGCATTTCAGATTTTTTTTTCAAAACTGAATAATGATGAAGAGACTGAGGGGATTAGTCCCTGGCTGTATGGCCCCAGTGTGCCTGTGATTTTGGTGTCTGCATTGGCATTTCATTGCGCTGCGTGCTTGCTCTCAGTTCATAGAGTCATAGTTTGGCTTGGAAGGTTACCAGGTCCAAGCCCCCTGCAATGGGCAGGGACACCTTTCACTGCACCAGGTGGTTCAAAGCCCTATCCAACCTGCCCTGGAACATTTCCAAGGCGGGACATCCACCACCTCTCTGGACAAGCTGTTCCAGTGCTTTACCGCCCTTACTGTAAACAATTTCTTCTTTATATCCAAGCTAAATTGACCCTCTTTCAGTTTAAAACCATCGCCTCCTGTCCTGTCACAGCAGGCCCTGCTATAAAGTTTGTCCCCATCTTTATAAGCCCCTTTTAGGCACTTGAAGGTGTCTCTGGAGCTTTCTTTTCTCCAGGCTGAGCAGCCTGAACTCTCTCAGCCTTTCTAGCAGGAGAGGTGCTCGTGGCCWCCTCTGTACCTCTCCCAACCAGTCCACGTCCTTCCCGTGCTGAGGGCCCTGGTGCTGGATGCAGAACTTCATCTTTATTGGTGGAATTCAGATAGAGTGGCTCTTTTCCTGCCAAGGGAGCTTTTTGCTGCTCTGTGGGTCAGTCAGGCTGAAGAAGCAGTGCAGGGGGTGGACACTCGTGCCATGGTCAGGGCGGTGGCACATGGAGTGTCCTGTTCCCTCCTGGGCAGCGCAGCCAGAGCGTTGACGCACGGGGCTGGATATCAGCACATCTTTTTCTGCCGCTGTCGGTAACTGACTGTGTGACCCCTCTGTCTGTCAGTTTACACATATGGAAACATTTTTCCACCTTTCAGAGGTGTGGTGGGGATTAATTTAACTTTACAAAGTGCTTTTTGATTCCCAACTGAAAGCTACTGTAGTAGCTCAAAATRCACTGATGAACCAGTACTGGCTGAGCAGCTTTGATGTGTGTTGGTGTATTTGACAGTGATTTCTTTTTGCTTACCCTAACTCAAGGACTGAGCCAATCCTGWGTATTCCTTCTTTCTCTAGAACCTTTTCCCCCTCTCTCTCTCTCATGCTCACATCCACTCCTCAGTAARTTAGGAATAAAATATCTGCTGAATAAATAAATACAAAATATTTTATTTTCAGATGTTTCAGTTATAGTGGCAGTATGAGTGCATGATAGTCATCATTAGAGGAGCAGTACAATAAACCCACATGGACAGGCCAAGGCAGGGGCTGTCTTCTAGAATAATTATTCTATGCCACTTGGAAACATTGCACCTTTTTTCCTGGGAAAAACAAATAAATTATGGAAAAGTAGCAATAGAAGCTTCTGATTAATTCCATAGCCAGGTGGCAAATGCATTACTTCTAGCAGTTCTCTGTCTCCAACGTTGGAAGTAAAAATTGTAGTTAGAAGTGTTTTCTTCAGCAGTGTTGGTGTTTTAGCACTGGCTTCCATTCTTTCTCACAGCTTTTAGCAGAACAGGTTTAAAGTCCTATGGTTTCTGTTTCAGTGTGTTTCTCAAGTTTCCAGCTTGTACCACAGTTTTTTTGGAGGCTATATCTKAGAATATTCTGCTGTAGCTCTTTGTTATGTGGTGAGAATATTTTCACAGAAATTTCGAGAACCCTAATAAAAAACAATTTAGTTACATTTCTTCTGGTGATTCTTTGTGTTTTTCCGCTTGAATATGGCTGTCTACAAATGGATTTAAGGGCTTGGACTTGGCTAATGCAGCAAAGGGGCTGTTCCTTGGGATCACAGCATTGAAATTAGGTAAAAGTAAAAAAAAAAAAAAAAGTGAATTAAGCTAACTATCAAGGAAAGAGYCCTCCCAGTGCTGCCTCTACAGCTGAGGTACAGCCTTTCAAAGCAAGCAGTAGATGATTCACCATTTCAGACATTTCAATCCAATGTAGAAARCTGTAGTAAATATATTGTGGGGAACATTCCTGCACTGGCAGGGGGGTAGACTAAATGAGCTATTACCAGTAGCTCTTTTCCATGTCTGACTGATAGTTGGCTAGGAACATGTTTGGTATAGTCGCCAATATTTTTTTTTTTTCATTTGGAGAGCACTGGTGACATTGGCAGAAGAATGCTTCCTGTGTTTGAAAGAGGTTTGTGTGGCAGGGTAGTCCCAAAAGAAGGCTATTTTCAGAGGAGGCATTGACACTGATAGCCTTAATCCTTTCCTAAAGGTTTTTTCGAAAGGTTTTCATAGGATCTGACTCATATTATATGAGAGGGTGTGGTGGTATTGGGGATATCTGTGGATTAGCTGCTACACATATTTTCRAGCTTTTAAATTCACAGTCAAATGATACTGCATTTATTAAAAGAACCTTTTTTTTTTTTTTGGTAGTGTATGAATCATAGCTTTTGATTTTTCCTGGAGTTTTTTCTTCCCTTCCCTTAAAACTACTGTCCTTCTGGGTAGAAAATGAATTTTTTCAGAATAGTTATGAAAGTGAGGTAGTGAATTTCTCTGTCTACTGAGCTCCTCTATTAAAAAATACCTAATAACAGTTCAAATGAGAGCGATGGTGAGTTGTGTTTAACTCAGGTTTTCTGATATGTTTATAAAAACTTTTCTTCTTTTAAAAGTGCACCTTGGTGGCAACAGCAGCAGTGATAGGAGCTATTGACAATTTAAATACTGCATCATTTAGTCCTAATGAGGGCAGCTGTAGATGATACAAAAAGTTATAGAGGGATGTTAATGCATCAGTGCTTTGACACTTACAGAAACTTTTTTGTATATTTGTCCTAAGTTTCTGACAAAATAGTTGTCTTCCAAATCTAGAAGGGTTGATTTTGATCCCCAATGTTTAAAACTTGAAACTTTCTCAATATAGGCAGTATTTTTTCACCTTATTAATCTGATTAAAAGGCAGTGGAAAATAGATGAAAGGGCAAAGAAACATTGAACAGGGACACCAGATCAAAGCCTGTGTACAGATTTATCATCCTCCATGGCTCATTTTTCTGTAGAGGAACATGTCTTAGTGTGCAGTATATTGCAATATGCTGCTGCTGCTCTTCAGTTCTGCTAAAACTTTGCTTACAGTAAAGCTGCAAAATAAAAACCTGGCTCGCCCTAAATTTCATCTCTTCTCTTTACCCTCTTTTTTTTTTTTTTTTTTTCTCTCCCCACCATATGATGCCCAGGGACTCCAGAAAGCCTCGCTGAGAAAGAAAGGCAGCTCATGGGTATGATCAATCAGCTGACCAGTTTGAGGGAACAGCTGCTAGCAGCTCATGATGAACAGAAGAAGCTGGCTGCATCTCAGATCGAGAAACAACGCCAGCAAATGGAGCTGGCTAAGCAGCAACAAGAACAGGTGAGTGATTATTACAGTGGCTTTCAGCTTAAATCATTTTCTAGCAGGGCTTTCCAGTAGTTTATCTTTTAGGCTTCATACTCTAAAATTTGCTCGGCACCCAATTTTTTTTCCATTTCCTCTCCAAGGTGAAAAATGTTAACCAAAAACGTATCAGAATTATTTAATTTGCAATATATCCGTTTTGGAATTGTTCAGAGCCTGGTGCCAATAATGCCGGGGTTGTGGGTTCAACCCCTGTATGGGTCCTTCATTTAAAAGTTGGACTTGATGATCCTTGTGAGTCCCTTCCAGCTCAGAATATTCTGTGATTCTGTTCTCTCTTTCAATACTGTTTGGGTTTTTTAGCTATCTGTAAAAAAAACCCAGGCAAATTCAGCCCTCCTGAATAATCCACTCAAACTGCTTGAATTCAGAAATACTGAATAGGTATTAAAAGAACAAAATGCARCCCTTGGATTGTAATGCGAGAAACGAAAAGGTTGGGTTTTGCCAACTGTGGAAAAAAGCAGAGAAGAATATAAAGTCAGTGATTAAGAGTGACTTCTTTCCTTCTAGAAGAGAGAGGCTTGATTTTCAGTTCTTGCAAATATGCCCCTCACTGGAAATGCAAACATGGTTTTCACATGTGATCAGTTCCAGTGTGCATACATGGACATACAACATTTTAGGCAAAAACATAACTTTTCTCACAGATTTTCACTGTGCAGATTTTAACAGAAATGGATGTCTGCTTTTGTACTTGAACATGAGCAGATACCTAGTTTAAAATTTTAACACAGAATTGCAGTGAGTTTTCTGAAACTCACAAAATTCTTTGAAATCTGTTATAGTTGTCATATTCGGTGTTGGTATTGTACTTAAGCAAGTTTTAAGATTCTAAACCACTGCTGATACCCTCAGATGTTTAAGACTCAGTTTTCCCTGGTTTTAATTATTTAAAAATCTTATCTTGAACAATAGGTATTTTGGCCTCGCCTGATATTGCACACAGGGAGAACAGAAGTGACTTACCTTAGGCTGGAGAATTTGTATCATGCTGTTGCTAAAAAGGCAAAGGTAGATGAAGGAGTGAAGGTGGYATTGGCAAGAATTTTACTGAACAGACATCCTGTATGAGCTATTCCCTTTGCCCTGCCTTTTAAGTCACTGTTGCCGCAGGATGGCTGAGGGATTTGAAAGTGGAAAAGAAAATGAAGACAATGGGAAAAGGCAATAAGAAATTAGGACAACTAGGATTTCTTTTAATTGAAGAAATTCTGTATACTTCTGTATTATGCAGAAATTAAAATAACCAGCCGTGCCCCACCCCCCCAAAAAAATGTAGTGATAAAAATTATTTTTCTTGCTTAAAGAAAGGCTCAAGAAAGAAAACATTTATTTAATCTTTTGGATGTGGAGCTAACTATGAGTGAGTGCTTCTTATGCAAATAGTCTAATAATAGAAGGAAAAGAAAATACCTAAGGGGAAGAATGCACAAAATTCCTCCCAGTAAGTATGTATAAGTTCCCAACTGACCCTGAGATGTGTACACATAACACAGCAGAGCTCCTTCTCATGTTTGTACTGCTGTGCTGGCTGTTCATGAGAGCAGAGCTTTTATGATGACTCAAATGAAAGTTTCTCAAATTTGCTTTTTGAGTTTGAGAACAGTTTATCTCCCTCCAGCCTTTAGAACTCTTAATTCCATTCTGTTAATGTCTGCTTTTTCCTTCACTGTGTATAAAATGTGTCCACCATAGGATTCCAAATCATTTAATGGAGAGGGAGGCTGGAAGTCCTTATGGAAAACTGCACTTTGCTTTGAGAGGAGACTTAAGACAACTCCATCCATTTCCATAAACCAGTTTCAGTGTTGAGCCATGTAGCCTTGCCCTGCTCCCTTAGTTCCTTGCAGCTGATACACACATTGAAGAGCCAGTGATTTTTCCAAACTCATTTCCAGTCTCTTTGTGCCTGTTTCTGCATTAAAAAAAAAAAAAAAAAAAAAAAAAAAAAAAAAGAAAAAAGAAGTACACTAAGAACCTTCCTTCATGGTGTCAGACTGCCATTTTTTTATATTTTTGAGCAGGTGGTGCCAAATGGAAAAGTATTGTTAGCCATCCTACTTTTTTGCCTTTTCTGCCTTCCTCCCCTATTTTTCAGTTTCTCTGCCAGTATTGTTCTCTCTCCTGGGGAATTTTAGCTCCTGGGGATTTTTTGCAGTGTCATTTCAGTAAGATTTTTGCATAGGTCCTTGTCTAGCTGTCCAGCATAACATTTTCTGTAAGATTCCCTTTCCCACTAGTATTAGCAGTGAATTGTAGCTGAGCATGTGCCCCTTGCTTCAGCGACAGTCCAGGCTGCCACCTCCTGCACTTGAAGGTTTCTTAGCTCAGTGGAGAGGTTTAAAGACCTGAGCAAGGTGGAAGTTTCCTATGGACAGACTCTGAGAATGGTGATCTATCTCTCATGTTTCTTCTGTGTAATCTCTCCACAGATTGCAAGACAACAGCAGCAGCTTCTGCAGCAGCAACACAAAATTAATCTTCTTCAGCARCAGATCCAGGTCAGAGACACGTCTCCTCTCATGCCCCTGTTACCCCTCTTTCTTCCTTTCCCTTTCCCCACGCTTTCCTTCAGCCAGTATTGCCATAGTTTCTTTAAGAATCTCTGCWGTTAGTCAGCATCTCGTTAATGGAAAAACATGAGGATTTTACCTGTCATTAAGCAAAAATGGTAACTTTCTGGAAGGTCTTATATGATTAACATAGTTCCTACAGGATCAGGAAGATGTTAGAGGAGCTGGTCATGCAAACAAGTTTGGCAGTACCAAATTGTTTTTCCTCAGGAGTGGAAAAAGCATTGCCATAAAGAGTTTGTTTGGAATTTATATCCTACAGCTCTGTTTTTGAGGTTTTGCTGAAGCAGTTCTCTTCAGTGAATGATGGTCAAATGCACCTCCTTCCGTCTGTCTGAGGTGTTGGAAGTCTGGAATTTTTTATTTGGGGGTGAAGTATTGTCTGAATGAGAAACTGGTCAAAAGGTTGGTTAGATTCAGGAGAGCRACTGTGTAAGTCCCTGGTATCTATAGGTTTATTGCCAATAGTAGAAAAAGCTGTTAACCCAGCACAACCAGTAAACTTTATTTAGCCTCTTTCTTCCTTAATGTATTCAGAAGTTTCCTTTCATGCCATTGACTGTATTTCATTACTTTTCTTCCATGTGCATGCCCCTGTTTTGGGAACAATGCAAATCAGTTTGCCTGTGAAGGTTTTCACAGAATAACAAAGGGGAGGTTTGACATCTTACAGATATCTAGGATCAGGGTAAAATCTCTGGTTGTTTAATTATGCAGTTTTGTATAGAGCATTGCACGTTGCTGTAGACTGTGTTCTGTTTGTTCGGTAGCAACAGGATTCTCCTTCCAAGGCTTTTCTTCAGTATTTCAGAATGASTTGCCTAAAATGATCAACCACAATTGTAACCCATTTAAGAAAATCTAATTCCAGCCAAGTCAGAGGAGTTGTATGGCTTCACAAAAGAAGAAAACYTGGCTCTGTCATTTTCAGAGGGCATTCTGTCCGTATCAGGACTTGTGTATTTATGAAAAACTCCTGGCAAGGTCCACCCTCTGTTATAAGGCTAATTCTATACAAGATGGCTTTGCTGAAAATAATTGTGAGATTGGTAAGGCTTGGTTTGGCMTCGACCTCTGTGCTWTTTTTTTCTTCTTTTATTTGTGTGTGGGAGAGATTTTTCTTTAATGCTCCATCTWTAATGGAACTTTAAAAGAAAAACAATAGCAAAACCTGTACAATAGCAAGGAAAATATTTATATTTTTAGCATTTAGCTAGGGCAGTRAGAGAGGAAGTTGTTTTATAAGCAGTGAATAAAAATAAATTGAAGTAACATAATTTGACCCCAACCCTTTTAAGTTTTAAGGCCTTGTAGATAAGAATGAAGTATGTCGTTTTTAGGGTAGTGGAGAAAACACTGGTTATTGATAATGAGATATAGACCCTTTCATCTCTTGATCCCTGGTCCAAGTTTGACCTAAGTCAGTAATAAATGAAAGTCAGCCAACTACCATCTGATACAAGCTGCAGTCCTYAGAAATGATTTGGGGGTCTGTCTCAAGGGATTTTGGATGAAACATTGACCCTGCTGAGGTCAGAATTTCACCTCCAGGGTCCATTTCACACAAACCCCATCAGATTTGTGGCACCCTCCTTTTGGATGGTCAGATGAGAAAGGTCAAGAATTGAACAGGCASAGAGACAATACTGTTCTCTCATTCCTGCAGAGCTGATCTGTTTGTTGTGAAATTTTGGTTATACTGCAAAGGYAATCTGGACAGCTCCATGCCGTGTGATCCTAAAGTCTCATGAACCCTGGTTGAAGCCCATTTTCTGTAGGGAAAAACATTAAAAATAAAATAAAAWTATTTTTTTWWAAAAATTTTAAAATCCTTATTGACAGTGAATACAAAGCAAAACATTTCTCCTCAATTAGTTGACTGTCAGAGAAGAAACAATACCTAAAGAAATAATCCTTTTTATACAAATTAAGATGGTGAAGTCACCCTAACATGCCCATTTTTAAAATGGTCAGTGAGTTTACAGGCAGCTTATGGGTTATAATAGGTGGAGCAAAACTGTAACAAGGTAGCTGTGAGTTTCGCTTTTCTGACCTCGCTCTAATTAATCTAACAGGCTTCTGTCACACTGGCCTGAAGATTTTAAATAGCATTAGATTTATTGAGAGGGAAATACTCCTACAAAGTCTGAATAACTGTTTGACTTATGGGCAGTTGAATGATTATGCTGCAGTTATGAACACAACTTACTTATGACAAAGGATTCGTTTTACTTGGGCCAATTCTTTTCTAGGCTTGTAAGAGTTTCCATAATTCCAGATAAATTATTACAYAGAAGAAAGCAAATGAAATATTGTATTGAAAGCATAATACCCTAAGGTTAAAAAAAAAGCATAACCTGGCTGACCCCATGATTTATGAGTCCTTTCTCTAAGTGCGCTAACTTGGAAACAGTTCCCTCTCTCCTTACCCCGTCACACAATCACAGATACACACACAATGCAGAACCAGGGAGAGACTCTTGACGTCTCTCTCCTCCTTAGAGGACTGCAAATGCTCARTGTATCTACAGCTCAATCAAACTAGTACTTCTATGATGCTGGAGAAAGAGTCTTTAGTTCCTTGAGCATAGAAAAATGTRCCTGGCCTGTGAATCTCTGACATCATGTCTTTTCCAAGTCCATCTCTTCTGAATTAACTGGAAGGAAGTGCCACTAAAACAGAAGACAAGGAGTTGGTATAGAGAGTTAAGTAAACTGGAGAAAAGTTGCAGGTTAGATTAAATTTGAGAATTTGTGTGACCTCAAAATGCTATAATGTGATCTAGATGGGATTTTGTGTTTTGGCAAATGTTTCTAATTTTTTTTCTGCTTTTCAGGGTGTTCTAGATCTATTTTGTGAAGAGGTTTGAATTTCTCTGAATAATTAACTAAACCTCCCCCCATGTGATTTTATGCCTCTTTGGAATGCATCCTCCCATGCACACTGCTTTCTGTCTTGCCTATCTTGGTGTGTAAGGTTTTCACTGGAACAGTTTCTGCCTGCTGAGTATTTGAAGTCTTCTCCCCTGCATCTTTCAGTCCTGCTGTTTTACCAGAAATGTGTGTTTTGTGAGCTCCTGAGCATCAATAGCCCCAAAGATTTCAGATTGTGTTTTAGAATGGTAGTGATTTGCAGCTGTAGTGTGGGCTGACATCAAGTCCAGATCAGGGAGTTCTGGGATTCAGTTTTGTTTTGMCCTTCAGGGCCTCAAGGGAACTCACCAGGTTGCCTATTCATCTTTTGTGAGGCCTTAATCTGCTTCTTGGTGCCCTTACTCTAGRACCTGGGGAAGTCTGGGGTCCTGTCACTGTTGCACCAGGGGGACAGAGAGGGGAAGAAACCTGGAAGATGCTCGTGATGCTGAGGCAGTCCCCCAGTACACCCCAGTGATGTCTTTTTTCAAAGGGTGTCTCTGAAACACAAAGTTTGGAGGGGTCGTGCAGTTYGCTTGCTCAGAGAAAAAGTCTAACCCAGGATGATGATGGAAGGGTTTGCTTTGAAGCTCAGTGACGAATGTCACTTTAATTGAACTATATTTAAAATGAAATATGGTTGTTAAAATTCATAAAGCAATTCATATTCAGTAGGGCACTGTTGATAAAATAGGTCAACCTTGCAGCCTAAATTGTGATAAAACTGATGCTGCTAATCTCACAATTTTGTAGAAAACCTGACAATGTTTTATGTTTTTCCCTCAAGCCCCAGCTCTTGGAGTCATGTGATGACAAAAATGCCAGCTTTCATTTCTTCAAAATGTAAACTTCCAGCTCTCATATTTCCAGGCAAAATCTGAAACCATGAGCACTACGAGTTCCAAAATTAGAAGGCAAACAAAACGGAGGCCAAATGCTGTTTTTTAAACTGTTCTGATTTTTAGTCAAAATTTTTTTTGGAGAGCCCAGCTCAAGATCTTGGAACACTTCAGGTTGCCAATAACGTAAAACTGAAATCTCAAAGCAGCAGGAAGCAACAGCGCTGCTTTACAGTATTTCTAACATGTAGGCCACAGTTTTGTTTGATTTTTTTAGCTTAATACTGTCAGTAGTTGGTTACTAATTTGTATTTTTTTCTGAGTGGCGTACTTAGCCCAAGAACCAAGTGCTATCTGGGACTTAAGGGCAATTAATGCCAGGCAGCAACCATTTGATGACTCTGTGTGTTTTAATAGAGGGTTTTCATTTGCCATCAGAGCTAGAGCAGATGTTTTAATAGGACTCTTTCTTTGTGAGGAACTTTGAACCTCTGAGAATGAGGGGATCYCAGCTAAATTCTGATGCAGAGCTGGAAGGAGTGTCTCTGGCCCGCTCCACCCATTATCAAATGTCAGAAATATTGGAATTAATCTCTCCAACACTAAGGTTGTGTTAAAGAGGGAATTGTTTTATTCAGGCCTGAAGGTGCACACAGGAGATTCTCACCTAAAGTGGGCATGATTCAACTAGAGGGTTACCTATATACAGTCGCTATATCCGTAGTTCAATTTGCCCATTACCATTAATCCCACCCCACATTCGCAGAGATTCAGGCCTTTGTTCTGTCTATCACTGCATTCTTGGGCCAGATGTCTTCTTCTTATCTCCCAACCATCCTTGCTGAAAGCAGCTTTCACAGGCCTTGGTTCTCTGCTGAAAGTTTCACAGGCATGGCAAAAATTGAATTAACCCTTTCAGTATCACACCTGCCATGTGGGATGTGRCTTTGCCTGCTCCTAGGTGGAAAGTTTGTTGTGGCCTTGATGGGCCTCAAGCTTTACAGACCCTTAGTAGCTTGTTTGGAAGTGGTACCCACACCCCTCTGTACATCATGAGCCTTGGGGCTGCAAGCTTTCTGGCTGTCCTGGATCACTCAGCTGCCCTGCCTGTCCTCCCAGCTCCAAAGAAGGCTTTCCTTTGTGACTCTGGATCTAGGTTTCCATCCTCCCACYCGC